AAAATTAATTATAAAAGACTTTGCTGCATGAGGACTGACAGATAAATTAGGAGCCACTGGTGTGTTAACCGAGCACACAAACAGGCGCCCCGGTGGTCGGCGGGTTAGCGGCCGGCGTCGAGAGCAGCAGATTAGATATAATAGTCCTACGGGCCTCCGGCTTCTCTGTGATATAGTGGATGGGCCTGTCAGTTTGACAGACAGCTTATGGTGCTGTGGCTGGATGGAGGCAAAGAGGGGGAAAGCTGGGGGAAAGGAGGCAGCAGAGGAGCAGAGTGATGGATGCCACCCCTCTCTGGGCCAACGGGATGACTGATCTCCACATATCTGTCACCTGACGAGAGCGGGAAGGACGGATGAGGAGGGAGCATCCATTCCTGCCTGGTCCTTTCCCACCCAGCGGGGCAGGGAGGGGGGACTGAGGGGTAAATGCAGGGCGCCTTATTTTGCCCCTCTGACAAGATGAAGAGCTTGAGCGGCCCGAGGGACGTCCTGGGACCGATCACGGAGGGGACAGCGGGCGTAAATCTGGTGGAGCGCACGCTCACCGGCAGTCCTGCTTCCATCGATTTCTGTCAGCGCACACCCGCGGCCTGATGAAATACGCTGCAAAAGAACAGAAAACTTCCACCTTTTAATGATGATGTAAAAATAAGTGGGCCGGCTGAGGAACCGCGCTTCTCTCTAAACTGTGTCGGCTGTCAAACGGTGACGGAATAAAGTCCAACTAATAAACAGCCTTTTGTCATTCAAATGAACTGAAAACACGTCCTGCTGAGCCTCTAAATGACACGTTTCTCCATAAACACAAGCAGAACCGGGTCCTAAAGAGTTCCCCGTGACAGAACCATGCACAGCGCTCCATGGATGAAGCCACCACCCAGTGGGAGGCCACAGCTGCCCTAAACTCACTGTCATGTTAATACAGCAGCAGGTAGAAGCTCTGAAACCAAAATGATGTTTTAATGCTAAAATATAATTATTATTGTTATCCATGAATTCAGTTTTACAAAAAAAATAAAAAATAGTAAAGCTAATCATTTTGTCTTGATGAAGATGATGAGGTGTTTACCGGCATTGTTGAACAGAAAATTAGTTTGATTGGTTCAATGTGATTCATTTGTGACTCCTCAGAGAAGCCCAGTGGCTCAGATTCAGGTACAAAAGGTGGATTCAGTTTCAAATTCCTCATTCCTGTTCAAAATGGTGAAACGTGGAGAGCTGAGTGAGCATTCAAGCACTGGATGGTCGATATAATCATGGAGAACATGATCAGACCTTCTTGTCTTCTTCAGTTTGTTCATTTTAATGCCTGGTTCCACTAAAGGTTTGGACAGATATAATGAAAACAACAAAAACAGCTCCTAAGAGTTTAATGTCAGAGCTGATATCAGACATGTTCCAGAATAACCTAAATCACTGAAGTTCTTCCATCAGCAGCTATGGCATTGTTCTGCCAGAACCGGAGCTTTTAGACGTTCCATGTTTTCTGTTCTGTCTGTTTCAGTCACATGATGCACAGGAGTTAGTACCTGATGGCAGAACCATAGTGTCTGATGACTGCAGCCATGCGTCTTGGCTGCTCTCCACCAGGTTCTGACATGGTTCTGCTTTTGGATTTGGATGTAGATCTGGTGACTGAGCGGGCCAAGGCATGGTTCCAGTGTTCTGGTTCTCCATCCAGGCTTTAACATGTTGTGTGCCAAGGGGCATCGTCTGGTTGGAAAACCCAGTCACTGGAGGCAGGAAAGAGTTTTCCAGCTGATGGCAGAAGACTGTTTTCCAGAGCAGCCTGTCCATGACCTGGTCCATTCACCCTGTTCCACCCAAACTGGAACCAGCCCAGATGGTCCCTGATCCACCCCCATGTTCTGCTGTATTCTTCAGGTAATGGACCTTTAGTGGTACCAGGCATTAAAATGAACAAGACATTGAAGACAACCAGGTGGTCTGATATCTTTTCCATGACTGAATGATGGCCCAAACTGCTCCAGGTCCAGTGTGCCATGTTTAACTCAGGTTGAACACAAACGCATTTATTGAGTCGACAAATGAAATCCTGGCATTTATACATTTGATGAATTTGTATTGAAACTCAAAAAAACCCTAAAAACGTAGAAGCAGGACAGTAAGGAGGAACAGAGATGCCAGCGGTTCAGAGGAAGCTCCAGGCGCTACCAGTGTATATATTAGCCTTATATCGGTGACCTCAGGAGGAAATGGCAGCTCTGGAGAGGAAACGTCGCTCTTTGATTGTGAAAAACCTGATGCTAAGTGTTAATGTTTCTCTGTTAAAGGCTGGATTTGCCCTTTAGAGCCTTTGCGTGACTGGATTTTATCTGACATTTAATACGTCGGGCACAAAGAGCTGTCAACCCTGAGAGCTTTCTATTAGTCTGGTCCCACCACAGCAGATAAGTGTTGCATCGCCCGCAGTGCTGCTTCCCACTCCTACAGCTCCACAAAACTCAACTGCATTTTGTTTTAGGTTGTATTTAGTTGTGGGACGCGATAAAAAATGAATGAAATGAATTGGAGGCATTGTAATGACTTGTAATGACATTTGAATCAAACAGCAGTATTTGACACAACAAGCAGAGTTTTTTCATTAAAATCAATGTTGGCTGACGGTGAACGGACAGATCAGCGAACTTCACAACAAACATGTTTGTTTTCCGTCCGTCTCCTACGTTCACATGTTCGTGCAAACTCACAGTTATGTTATGTTAAAAAGGTTTTTTCTCTTCGACTCTTTGTTCTGATCCAGGCTGACGTCAGGCCCAACAGGCCCAGTAACGCCCAACAGGCCCAGTAACGCCCAACAGGCCCAGTAACGCCCTCTGGCCTTCTGTCACTGGTCACCAGACTTTCTTGCATCCTGAGCATCTTCTTCACGGCTGGCAAACAAACTTTAGGTGCATTAGCGCCACCTGCTGGCTGGAGTGTGTGCATCATTAATTGTTTTACGGTGTTTTAATGGAGAACATTTCACTGTTTGGATTTGTCACCTGAACAACAGTCCAGTGAGTCAGAGGAATGTTTTCTGAAGCTCGGGAGCAAATCTGATCATGACGTTTCTGAAGAAACTTCACTGCATTCTGATCTAATTCCAAAGTGAACGAGTGGCTTTGCATAAATCCTGGTTTCACTGTCTCGTTCTACAATGAGACAGAATAATGTCAGATTAAATCAGCCACTTTTAATTGTTCATGTTAACTTTAACCTTGTTCAAAATCCCAAATTTAAACTATTTTAATCTGTGTACTGAACTTAGACCTCGAGCTGGTTTAGTGTAAAGAGAAAGGAACGGAGACAGCTTTGTTTCACACAGTAGATGAACTAAATATGGCCGTAGAAGACTTTTTATTTAACGGTGAATCATGCAGAGCTACTTCTAGGGAAATTAAAATAGTATCATAGCTCCCCTTTACGATATTCTAAAGCCTCAGTCACAACCGGACGTAAGACTTTTGGGATCGTACGTCCTCTGTGAGTTTTGGGTCCCGTAGAGGTCATAGAGGTCGTACAGGTTGTAGAGGTCATAGAGGTCGTAGAGGTCGTAGAGGTCGTAGAGGTCATAGAGGTCATACAGGTGGAGGAAAGGTTGAAAGGGCTCCGTCAGCCAGGATTAGGAAGGCGTGAGCCTGCCTTGTGAGCTGCAGGGGCGGTAATTTAAACATGCGATAGCCGAGGAAACTGTCCTCACTTCTAAAGTTTGTCTTTCCACCTGCGTACATTTTTTTGGATTTTGTGTTTTTATGTGTGTGTTATGTGTGAGTTGTTGTTATACATTTTATTTTATGGCCCTTTTGTAATGGGAAACATCATCTATTCTAAGGTTAGAATAAAAATGCATAATACTACTTTAATATGTACAACAGAGGGGAAAAAATAGCTTTAACAGTTTCCTAATCACACTGCATATCAGTTTACATAAAGAACAGGTTTTACTAATGTGAAAGTATATATAACAATAAATAAATACAGGCAAACAGGCTATTCTTTATTTATTCTGTTGTTAGTTTTAGTGGATAATTTACTGTTTAAGATATCTGCCATTGTCATGCAGTCAGAAAACTGATTCATTCAGGGAAGATTTTTTTCCGCATAAGAACTCTGATTCGAGTGTCGTCGGAAAATCCTGAATCCTGAATCGCCTGGAGCTCAGCACTTCACTGCCACGAGAGTCAGAAGATCTCCCAGCATGTGGGACGGTGAGCTTGCAATAATTATGGGGGGTACACACACAAGTCAAACTGTGGTACTGGGACATGTGAGCCTTGTCTGGTGAAGGCACAGTTTGGTTCTGGTATGGAGTCTTTCTAAGGAAATTCATATCGTCAAAGAATCTGGTCATTTTTCCCCTCTCAAAAAATGCCCTTTTTTTGTCAATCTCTGCCACAGCTGTCAGCGATGCAGGAGGACTGTACCTTCACCAGACAAGGCTCACATGTCCCAGGAATGGCTGGACCAAAGAACAAGTTCACAGCTCCATGTTTTTTTTGTTTGGAGATTTCTCGTTAAGGATTACCTGATTTTTCAATAATTTTGCTGCCATGGTATCTTTTTTTTTATTTTATGTGATATTGTATATTGGGAAATTAAAGAAGAGTATTACAGTGTTGTACTTTTACATAAATGGATGAAAACTGTATTTTATCAGGAATATTGTATCGGGTAAAATATGGTGTTACTAATGTTAGCGTAGTGGGTTAAAAACACACAACAGAGTCCAGAAGTTCTCCAGTTTATGCCAGTGACAGTGACCAGCCCAGACAGAGCAAGCATGATGCTACGAAGCTAATCCCTACACAGAAGTTCACATTTACATTGAACAGAGATATTTATGTAACCCACCTGAAAATGGGTTAAAAATATGTTCTTATTGTTCTCATTGATCTTTATTTTGTGATTGTAAGTACTGTGTGTTTTATTTTGAAAAACCGGAACTTTATTTTGTGTAAACCGGAAGTAATGCGCTATAACACTCGCAGGAACTTAACACGCTGTTCCTGCTTTCCCTGGTGGGAGTTGAAAACAGAAGCAAAAGGTATCAAAACGTGTTAATTTTGCACTGAAACTAAGAAATGATGCATTTGTTGCTGTAAACTGGTTAAAGTGTTTTAGAGGTTGGAGAAGAGTCACTGTAACTGTCCCGGTTCTTCTGTTGTTCTGTTGTTCTGTTGTTCTGTTCTTCTGTTGTTCTGTTGTTCTGTTCTTCTGTTGTTCTGTTCTTCTGTTGTTCTGTTGTTCTGTAGGGAACCTCGTGTTGGTAAGCTAGCTTTCATCATGCTCTGTGTGTGTGACCAGCTAGCTGCAGTTAAGAGGGTTTCTGGTGTGTTTTATGTATTTTTGTATCATGTAATTCTCCAGAAAAGCATTTATTTGAAGTTTTGAGAAGAGAACTTGTGTTAATGGGTCAGAACCAACGAAAAGTTTCCTGTATCAGTAATTTAAGCACCTTATGAGACTTTTACTCTGTGAAGTGCCAAATCATGTTTTAAATGTGACTAACGCCATACAGAAAGTTTATTAAGATGGATCAAAGCAGCACAGCTCTAATTTATGTTATTTTTGTTAATTAAAAACAAAGTGTTTCATTTATTTTATGTAAATCTAGAATCCTATGTTAAAAAGGGATTCAAAAAGAGACAGTAATGATCTTAAAGGGAATGTGTTTTCTGAAAATTGTGAAAATGTTATTTCATTAGTTAAAATGGTTTATTCTGACTGTGTAGCTTTATTGTGGAAGTAACTGAGGTTTCCTCTCGTATCCCACGTTGTTATATTCTATATTGAGAAAAGACAGATAATATGTTTGGATGAATCTAGTTGATGGTTTTATGTTAGAACCTCTACTATGACCTGTTTTACTAATACAGGTCAGATCTTCTTATTGATCAGAAAAACCCCGTTGAAGCTCCAGTCCTCGTGTCCGACGAGGCTGACCAACGACCATCAGATGGGGAGCCTCCCAGCAGAACGTTGGTCATCACCACATCCTTCAGCTGAGGTTCTGGTAGGATCCAATACTTGACCAAGAGCCAACACAGGACACACTGGACTTGACTGTTGCACATCTGACTTACTGACTTGAACTCTGGATCCACAACAACAGTTCCTAAACCGAAATCCTTGGAAGGACAATTGTATTTTTCCTTTTATTATTATTTTTTAAGGGCCCATATGTACAATAATTAATGTGCACTGTTCCAATAAAAAGTCACCTTTTATTATTCATACCTGTGTGCATCTGGTAGTGATTTGCTCACAGCTCCTATGAACCTGCAGAGACGTGTCCATACTCAGACGTGGGTTACATTCATTTCCTGCTTCTTGGTGTTACACTTTATAAACCATTTACCTGGAAGGCCAGTCTGAAAAACATGTCTTAGATTTAAGAATGCCAGAGAGCCCATAACAGCATCATGACGGCTTTGTCCTTTTATATAATATGTTTTTTTTCCGTTGTTTAAGGTTATCACTGTGACGTGAAGCAGGAAATGTTGTTAACCTGCCAAACACTGGCAGTGGAGCACAGGTGGGACGGAGGCTTTGTCCAGGTGAAGAGATGCTTTCAGGGAATGTGTGTAAACAATCGAGAAAAACTGAATGAACTTGATCTGAACACTTTATGTTTGATTGTGTCACTCTGTCCTCTGTTAGCTTATGAAAAAATACACATGAAAAATGCAAAACATAAAGGAAAACCTGTGACAGTACAGATTTATTATTTTTTTGCAGTGTACTATTATTAAAATTCATGCATTATGCTGAGTCCTATCCAAGGCAACCACGTTAAGAGACTCAAACCACATACGTGTAGTGGCTTCAAATACGTATATTTAACAGAATAAGACATTTGTGGAACTTCATGACATGTTGTTCAGCCAAAAGCTTGATCAGCAAACTGCACAGTGGACAGATTTACTCATTAAACTCCTGCTCACAGGCAGCGAAAGGCCCAACTGAGGACCCCAGAAAGATCCCAGAACTGGTCCTCGTTCATCTGATCTGCCTCAGACTCAACACTTCCTCCAGTTCCCAGCAACACAAAAGGATCCAATGGGTGGTTGTTGAGATAAGTGGAGAACAGAGATGCTCACAAGTCTTTTTTTGTCCAAGTCCAAGTCAAGTCTCAAGTCTGTAAAAACTAAATCTCTCATAATGAGCCACCGGTCATGTTGTCTTCAAGGACGTTTGCTGTTCTCAGTGAAAAATCCAAAACAGAGTCATGGGCTACAGATTGAGATATATAACAGCTGAAACATAATCATGACCACGTGGTGGCGCTGTATCCATGTCCATGTGTGATAATTCATGTAGTTGGTGTGTGAGGTGTGTTTGGGGCGTGTAGACATGGCTGATAGGTTCTGGTGGCCCAGGTTCTGCTGTTTAATGTGATGTGTTCTGTCATGCTGAGTGCTGTGTTTCACACTATTTCTTTTTGGGTTAATGAATACGGAGCTTATAGCAGCTGGAGCACACGGTACCGGCTCGGTACCGGCTCGGTACCGGTGTTTCCAGGATGTTAGCGTTGGTCAGTGTGGGCCACACATCTGTACAGTGATCTCTGTAGTTACTAGTGTGGACGGGTCAGAACAGGAGAACTGGTTAAAGCTGACTGTGGGAAGAAAAGAACGACAGGAACATCCCAGTATGAGCTGTCTGATGGGAACACATGACCCAGACACCAAAGAAACTCCAGTTTAAATGTACTGGTTTGACATTCGTGCTGGAAACACGACAAAGTCGACAAACCGTGTCCCAGACACAAAACTACAGATTAAATTTCGTAACTATTTTACGAGTTGCTGTGAGACTGGGTTGAAAATTGTCGATACGTGGATGCGGGCTGTAACCAGACGGACTTGTAGGAGCCGTACAGTGATGATATGCTGGCTGATGGAGCGTCTGTCTGACCGTCCAGGGTTCTGCTGGCCAGTAAATAACTGAACAGTTTATACTGGTGACGGTTCGGTCCAGATCAAGCCTGTGCCTTCATATATTGAATAGAAACATGATAGAAATAAAGCAATAATTAGCATCACATGACAGAGCTGCTGCTGCTGGTGCAGTCTAACCTACACACACCTGAGCACATGATGGCAGCTGTTTCTCTCTTATAGATTCGCTGCCATTGAAACTTGGTGGACCCGCTGAGCTGCAGAATCACACGTCCACCACTTGGAAGCTTTAGAGGTTGACAGATTTGTTCATGTGGCATTGAAAGAATCTTAACTACTGTTGGTCCTATCAGCGTTTTGGAGGGACAGTGAAACACATGTTTTACTTCCACCCAAAAAGCCACATATTCACTAGAACACATTGTTCTGTTTGGCCCAAAAGGTGACCAACACCCAGTCTGTCAACACTTCAATAAAGCAGTCAGCATAGTCTGTCTATGTGCAGGTCCAGACTGAGAGACAGACCACTTGGTTCTGATCTGATTCAATAGCTGCATATGTTTAAACTGGCTCAGAGACGCCACCAGCTGTTAGGAAACATTCACAACAAGTTGAGAGGTCATGCAAAAAGAAAATGTAATGAACACAACTTTCTACATCACCAGGACGGAGAATTCAAGTCATCCAGCAGATTGGATCCAACCGACACTAAATGTAGGAAACATCAAAGTGTATGATTGTTTTTTAGAACAAAGATGGCTTCAGTCGTTCATCATAAGAGCTGCAGGAGCTGCTGGAAACTCAAGACTGTAATAAAATATATGCTCTTCACATGTGTGGGTAAACTTTTGCTCATGACTGTACTCAGTGACAAAGGGAA